AACTAAGCAATCCTTTGATGAGATGTTTTATGCAAAAAACGTTAGCGAGCGCGAATAACCGCTCAAAAGTGAACACATTAGTATTCCCGAACCGGCGGTTCGGCTCGGCCTCCCTTCAGGTTTGGGGGAAATAAAAAATCAATGTTTATTCTCGTCGGACGCGCTCCGAATGCTAATTATAGGTATAACTAATTGTTTCTTGTTTGTGTAAAGGCGTTCGTTTTATGAGCGGCCACCCTTCGCACCGCAGACGCACGGAACCGTTTCATCCCCGCTGCGATGCTGTATTTTTATTAATGCAGAATATACTTTTTTAACAACTGTTTAGGCAATTTGAATGAAAGGGTCTTTTTTTTAAATTAACGCATTAATTAGTTTGCAAGTTTTGCAAGTACGTGTCGTGATAAAAATTAAAATATCATAATTAATATTGGACAACGTCTATGCCAAGGTGTTGCGAAAGGAATTGTGATACTTATAAATGCGAAGGTAAATTTTCTGTCTGTTACGCTTCCTCGTCTAAAAGATGTTACATTTTAAGTTCTAGATCTAAAAAGCTACTTCAAAATACAATCCATCGAACAAAAAACCTCTACACCGACATCAGGTGCTCCGAGAACATCGAAGTTAAGGAGCCACCAACTATAAATTACTTGGAAAATTCCACTCCGCTACCTACACCGTATCGAAACTCGCCAATAAATATTGTTCATTTTCGTCCTGTGGGCTATGCATGTCGATGGAGCCAGGATATACTACGTTAGGGAAATTCAGCTCGGTGATTGTGAGCCAACCCGTGCCATAAAGATGCATTTAGACCTACCTACACAATAGGATGCATATGCCCGAAAACTCAAATCAGATTTAAGACTCCTTAGACGATACGTATTATGTTATATTTTTTTCATAAAAAGGTTTGAAACCTTTTTAGGGCAGTATTTTAGATAGAGTTTGAGTAAAAGGCTTAGTAGACAATCTTTTACGCTGTTTGGACACGTTTCTATTACTTGGTTTTATCCACCGACGGTTGCTGGTTTGATTCCAGTTTGATTTGAAGACAGTAATTTTTCTAATTGAATGGTTCAATTCTTTTTTTTTTGTCTGCTTGTCCTGATAAAAAGAAACATAGTTTTAAAACCTAGTCAATTTCATGCTAATCACATATCGTTCACGTAAAATTTTAATAATAATTTTTATATCAGTTGCAGGTACAATCATCATAAACCTCCGCCCAGACAAAAAGCAAGCTTGAAAACGACGGCATAAAGTCCAACTGGGTTTATTACATCTCCGGTTATTTGAATAACTCAGCAACACCTTAACATATCATTCTGCGGTATCGCATTTCATGTTTATAGCAAAACTTGGACTCCATGCACTTAACCAAATGGCTTTCCGATACTTATAACAGCAGTATAGGATGCGTGGGTACCGCTACATTTTATGCATGCCAAGTTATTTTGTAAATTATTGCACGACTTATTTGCGAACTCCACGGAGTTGGAACAGTACTGATATGAGTATTAATATATCATCGAACTTATTTTATCGCCTTGAATAGAAAACTGGAGTGCCTCGTTAAGGGAAAATTGCAGAAGCTTCTGGAACACTACTGCCTTCGTTGTAAAAAAAACTTATATCAAGTTTCAATTTCAATCAAGCAATATGGATCGTAGAACAGTAGAACACGCAAAGATCAATGTTTTTATTTATTATTACAAATCGGTGTTTTTTGGTCTTTCGTTTCGTATATGACCAAAAATAAAGTATGAATAACAATTAGGCGAGACCGAGCGGGATCAACTCAGAAAAACGGTTTAGCGACAGTGTTTCAACATCAAAAGCTAGCATTTAGAGCTTGAGTTGATATCATTATGTCGTCAAATGGCCATAACGTACCAGCGGCGTCGCCGGCGAGCCGTCTGTGAATTTTAAATCATTTTTAATAGTATCACTGGCGCACGTCACGTCAAAGCTAAACCGGCCCATTTCATTCGGTAATGTGATTTCCAAATTTTTTTCGCTCGAAACACAACTTTCGCTTCACATTCGTGGAAATAGCAAGGGCGTTTCTTTTGTTTTCCACGAGCTCCTTGTAATTATGTTCCGAGTCTGTTCCCATACCGTCTGTACTCATGCGATACGTGAACATTATTATGTTCGTTTGTTTACAAAGGGGCCCTTGATACTAAAGAGTCGCGGCGTTGACGTCTAACTCGGGGAATTTAATTAACTTCGTTAACTTCTAAATAGTCTTAACGTCTTTGATACCTCGGCTCCCTAGCATTGACAAACGCCAGCGCTCGGTGTGTACATGACAGTCGCTGTCAAAGTTTTATCGAGTCCCGGCTCGGAACTGGTTGGAAACAGTGATTTAGGCGTGATAAAACAAATGGAACGCGAGCGGAGGCCCGCATTGCGGGAGCATCATGCGCTCATTTCTCATTGTCTGCTTGCACTCTTGGCGGTACAAGTTCTCCGGTGCAGTTTAATGCATATTGTAACGTGGTAAGCACTCAAAATGGTCTAAGCGGGGATGCAATATCGCGGCCGTAGACGACGGCGCACGGTCGACTCTTTATTGAAAGTGTAAACTGTCCTTTTTCACTGGTTGCCTCGAGCTCTTTGTGACGGAATTTTGTGCAACTTATTTTGCGCTCCGAGTGTAAATAATAGTGAACTAAGAGAGCTTCGGATTTTCGGGCTTTCCCTATTTTCCCCGTTTGCCGCGGTCTGTATACGCAAGAGTATTTATTGTACGTCGCTGTCAGTCGGCCGCTGCGTTTAAATACTTTATTGCGATTTAGTCTGGAGTTCCGCAATGAAACATAAAGGATGCCGATAGCTTTGCTACGATTCGAACGCGCTAACAAAGTTCCATTGTACAGATTAACTAACAGTAATTATAAACGTACGTGGCTATATGAGGGGAGGGAACGTCAAAGGTAACGTTTAAACAATTTAATATTCCACACAAGCATTTCAAGCGCCAACTCAAACGTAGCCTCTCCTTTCGTAAAAGTTGTTCCGTAAACGAACCCCCCCCTTCGTTAGATATCTACGTGAGTTTAATCCACTCGGAGGCCTCGCGGCGCGGCGCGGGGCGGTTCGGTTGGGAACGATTTTCGTGGAAAATTGGCGAAAATTGCAACAACATAGGCGAAAATTACCACTCGGGAACGTTGTTTAGAGCGCGACTCCAATTTATGCGGTTGTGGAAATGTGACGTGGTCCTGCGGATTGCCCGGCCGCCAGTGTTGCTAGTGTGCGCCGCCAAATGCATTGTTATTATTCGCCGATAGTCTTGCAGTTTCTATTTCGTCTATTAAGCGAATAAAGAACTTAATGTGGTACGTTAACGTAGCGCTTGCCACAGAACAGCGTAGTAACACAACACGCTAGAAGCAATGCAGTTCCGAATGGCTATTGCATTCTTACTTATATACCTTAGAAACAGCTTTTATTTGCGTGCATTTGATGCCATTTAATGACTACGTATGCACTTAAGCATATCGTTTGACTGCTAGCATGCAGTTCAGAGGATATCGAGTAAGCTTTTAAGTCAATAAATCGACGATGTACGTGTGAAAAGCTTTAGCTCTCTATAGAAGTTTCGCACGCCATTTCACGAAAAACAATAGGTATAATCGGTTTTTCGTGTTTTGGACTAAATCCCCTGTTTCATAGTCGAATGTGTGGAGGTAGGTGGACACCGCGCGAAGTCCTTTGTGCCACTTTCGCCACTTCTAATTTCCCAATAGGCAGGCGCTTTCTTTTGTTTTGTGAGCTTTTACGAAATTTCGTGTCGCTTAATGTCCACGTTCGATTAATTTTCTTCTCATAGAACGTTGGTTATTTTAAGTACTTTATGGGAAACCTCCGATTCATATTGGACTGACGAAAATAGTGTGCTTTATGCGGAATTGCACTGGTAATTTTGTGTACAATGCTTCCAAAATGAATTTATCATAATCAGACTTGAAAATGTTCTGTACTACTATAAAGTATCTACATTTAAGTTAGATAACAATGATACAGACTATCAGTTTAGTCAGATAACAATGTATTGATAATTTAATTAACAGTGTCGTTTTATTTGCTTTCTGCCTACCTTGCTAACGAAAGCAATACAGCAATAAAACACGTAACTTTGCTGATCATAGAATTAAATTGCCGTTTTTGAATCCGACATTAATTTTAGAAGGCACTTCGTTAAATGGTTTATTTTTAAGTGTTATAGAATAACTAAAGGTACCCTGCGGTTTCATCCTCACTAATTTGAGGAAAAAGGTTATATTTGGTTACCCTTAAAAGATAGACATATGCTGTGGTGGACTGTTTTATAGGACTTTTTAAGGGTAACGACTTCGACATACGTGATTTTTCGTGACTTTTACCGTTTACGCAGCACACGCAACGGAAGCTCACAGATGGTATATTTTTTCCCGTTTTCGCAAAATTTCATTAGTGCTCCGCTCCTATTGGTCGGACCGTTATGTTATATAGTCTTATAGCCTTTCTCGATACATGGACTATCCAACCTAAAAATAATTTTTGAAATGCTACTGGTCTGATTTTTAAAATATTTTTGTTTTGAATAGTGCACGTATTGAGATAAGCGACAATAACCAAAAAAACAAACTCTTTAGCTTTATAATCTATTAGATATAAAATTCTCGTGTCACGGCGTGCGTAATTGAACTACTCCGAAACGGCTCTACCAATTTTCGTGAAATTTTATATGCATCTTCAGTAGGTCTGAGAATCGGACAAGATCTATTTTTCATCCCCCTGAATATTAAGGTGGTGGTGGTCCACCCTTAAATTTTCTTTGGACAAAATTTTCTGTTTTTGTTTTTTTATGACACATTGATATGAGATACAAATTTTCACCTTGCTACCATCAACCCCTATTGTTTTATGGCGGCACGAAGTTCGCTGGGACAGCTAGTATTAGTATAGATATTCTTATTCCTAAAATGTTATAGAACAACACTTACTAGTGCCGGCGTAGTAGACGGTGTAGTCCAGCTGGTGTCCGAGCATGTCGACTTTGACGCGGTCCACCACCAGCCTGGTGAAGAACAGGTCCCGCTTGTAGTAGATGGGTTTCTCGTTCTCGTGTGACACAGCGCTGTCCATCAGCGGGTGGGATCTGGAAACAAGTTCTTATTTCAAACTGATTTTATGAAGACTACTTTTTTGTAAAAAGAATGGCAAACAAGCATATGGCCTGCCTGAATGTAAGCGGCCACCATAACCTATAGAATCCGTGTGACCGTAATATATATACATATTTACATATATTTATATACATGTAATAATATAATATATATATATATTAAACGCAAAGAAAGTTAAGATACATATTTTTTTAAATTACAATTCTTTCCTTTGGTTTGCTTTGAAAAAGAAGCCTTTGTAAAAAGTACCCCTTGTTATTTGTATTTTTATCAAATAAAATCTATACCAACATTCAAATTTCTAAGAGCGTTTATTAATATATCTCATACTAGAATTTCCAGTTTAAAGGATGAAAAAAGTGCGTAACTTAACAATGTTATACTATTTCAAAGGACTAGGTCTTTCTATAATGTATGTCACGTTATTATCTTACCGAAAATAAATTAGTATACCTATTGTTCATCGTCGGAGCTGACGCAGCGTTATTCGTACCAAATAAAATTTACTCCACAACAATCTAGAATGTTAAAAGTGTTCTAATAAAGGAGAGTCATCGAAGCATGCCGTCGGAAACATTATAACACGTTGATACGAGTAACAATGTAGCGACTCGGCGAGTGCTCGCGACGCGATAATGTCGCCAACACGGCACAGATAAAAGCCTTCACTGTTACACTAACAACGAAATACCTCATTCGTTTAATTAAAATCTCCGCTCTAGAAGCGAATAAAAAATTATTATACTATTTTCAGCAGACTGGTTCAGGTGAAGTGTTAAAATCTCAACGTTTCCACATGAGGACGGTGGAAAAGCGGGGTGAAAAAAAAATATAATTGAACGCTCTCGGGGTGAGAGCGTCAGATAATTAACAGGACGTGTCGCCAGCATAAAAGTGCCGGTAGATTTCAATGAGCATGGAAATTCTGGAGTCGCTCAGGAGACTCGCAACGATCGTGTTTCGCGTTTTTAAGTGACGATTTTCTACTTTGTTTACGGCCAGCGCGCTTGTTACAATAACGGTACAGTCTGTTGTTTTTGCGCTTTTGCGTATTCGACGACGACGCTCGTTTGTTTTGAAAATAAATTAATTCGGACCTCTCCCTTTTTTTTAATGAATAGGACAATGGTTTTGTAACCCTGCGCTGTTATTAAAACAAAAGTTGTCTATTATCCGTCTGGCTTGTGACTGTAGGTGTAATTTTTGTATAATGAAAATTTAAAAAATAAGATTTTTGAATACGCAATCATATTATGTCATTGATAATATGTTTCAATAACGCTAAAATTTAATCTGCATTAAATATGAAAAAGAACAAAATCAGAAGTTTAAACAACTGTTTTGTAAAGTACATGTACAAGAATATTATGGCAGTACTGAATTATTTTTATTGTTTTCAACTTATATTGTATATTGCTAATATATAAATTATATAAATAAATTAACGACACTAATTAGCAATCACTTCAAATACCGTACAAATTTTATGAAGCTTAAAAAATTATAAATGACTAACAAGCCTCGAAATTTATCTTTACAAAGAATTTAACAAATTACCGCTACATAACAAACTAAAACTAAATTATAAATCTACTCAAAAATACAATTAAACAAAATTGTTGAAGCATGGTGTAAACCCAAAGCACCCGCTTTCCAATTAAGGGAAGCTAAAATATTACTTTATAAAAAACACCTCTTACCGTATGAAATTCAGGACCGTGTCCGGAAGAGACGAGGTATCGTTCACACAGGTTCCTGGTCTTGGTTCCGGCACCTTGCTGCTGATGACTGGCAGCCAGGCCGAGCTGGACGTGGCTTGCTCCTTGAACTTCCCCTCGAACGCCTTCTGAATGTCCCCGATGGTGAAAGTGCAGATTGCGGAGCCCATGAGGCCGGTGGAGGCGGTCGTGAAAACGCCGTAGAAGCGGCTGTCGTCACCAGGCACTTTGTAAATGCTTTCTGTTAGAAAGAGAAGAGCTTTGTTTTCATAAACATGTCTAGATACAGTATTAATGCCACGGTAGCTCCAAAAAATATCTACTACATATAGTGGGTACTCTCGTCGCTACACATGCACACATTGACTGCTTTCAAACAATCTGTCATTAGAGTCACGCATGCATTGCGATAAAAGAAGATAAAATGAGCCGTTTGATGAATGAGCTCTATCTAGGCGCAAAGAAGAAGAGTAACTTCATAAATGTAGGCGAAAGTTAATTCAACATTTGAATAAGCACCTCTGTATCCGTAAGATTAAACTAATCATGCTAGATTTATGTTAAGATTGTCACATGTTGACAATCAGTTACTTTGACTCCGTGTTAGGCTTAACCAATGCTAAAAATAGTGTCCTTGAAAAGTACGAGCTTTGGCCGTAATGTTTATACCAATATATGAATTTTAAACCAACGGGCACAGGATGATTCATTGATAAGATTCTTTACATAATTTAGTTTAGTTTATTATAAAGATAGGATATTTTTTGAGACATTTTATTGCAAAAATTCAATATGAGAAGGTAATTCCAGCATGATAAATAAATTTTTATAAGTTAGTTAGTTAGTAGTACTAAGTTTTTATTTTCTTATGATAGACATTATGGTTATTAATAAGTAAGTTGAAAGCAAATCTTTTGAAGTGTCAAACTTATAAAATTCCTATAAACAAACAACCGCTAAGTGATGCCTTCCACACAACACAAGATAATAAGTTCTAAGCAATTAAAATTTAAATTACAACCCTCCGATACGAGAGCTAAAGCTAAAATTTATCAAGCGCACTGTCAAGATGTCTAATCTGTTCTGTGCTGTCCAAAGTTTGGAGTCGACTATCAAATTATAATAACTGTGGGTGCTCAACTTTATATCTTGATGTCACCGAAATTTGCCGTTACAATTAAACCAGTTTCTGGAACTATTAAACGTCAACCTCTCCAGGAGGGGTAGGAATTTATTGTGCGGTCAGCGAAATAGGGAGCTTTGTGCGGTTCAGAGGTGCTTTGTTAGTGGAAAAGTATGTTTGGGTCCCTGTTGTGTGCCATAAAAATTTGTATGTTTTAGGCATTTGCATAATCAGCAGTCAAATACTATTTATCTTCGAAGCTATTTAGCAAATTGGCAAAGTAAAAGTTGCGTTAGACTCTTGAGATACGCCATAATTTAGCTATATAAGTTGCATTCTAAAAACTCTATCAGTGTGTAAGTCGATTCAACAAGTGGCGAAATTAATCATTCTAGTACGAATGTTTACTATTAACTTCACAAAATCTACGTGAACAAGGACCTCTTAGGCATGTAAGTAGCGAGAGTATACGCCGCGTTAAACCCACTCATTGCCAAAGTCTGTGAACTTAAAAGTTGAACTGTGCTCAGTAATTCTTGACTAAGTTTTATGAGTACTTTGCTACCGTTTAACGATATTTTATAGTTACTGTATCTGACTCCAAATATTAACCTATTTAAAGATAAAAAAGGTTTATTAGTTTTTACTTTTCGGCGGTTTTTTTGTTGTTAAATAGTTTTGTATTTTTACCCGGCTGCGCAATGCAAGAGCGCGAAGCGCGACGCGCAGACAGGGTTATGTGTTTAACAGTCTATATATGTATGTTTGTTCCTTTGTGGCACACTAGAGACCAAACGCCTGGACCGATTTTGATGATTCATACATGAATCGATTCGTCTCAATCATGGGAGTGCTACTAAAGATATGATAGTAATCAAAATTCAATATGGGCAAAATTAGACGCCATATTGTGACGAAGTAAAAAAAATAAGTTGACAAAATATGTCGAGTGGGGTATCACTGTCTAGATAATCGCAAATCATGTTTAGGTTCTTAACACTATTTTTCATTTAATATGATTGTTAAGGATCTACAACGCTTTAAAGTTGTATATTAACCACTTACGCTTTTAATTTCAATCTTACGTTTGTATGGATCTTTGTTACTCTTTCACCTTAAAAAATACTGAATGGATTTTGATGAAACTTAACAGTAATATAGCTCATATATGATAATTACATATATATAATAGTTTATGTAGTTATTGAGTGAATTGGCCAATATATAGCAATTAGTGTCACTTAAGACGGAAAATATGTACCATCTGCGAGCCATTTTGGCCTGCACTGCAAAAACAATAAAAGTTACATGAATGTAATATAGAGTGAAAATGTATCTCTTAAATAGTTCTAAACAAAAGTCCGTGACACTATGTATCTATTTTTAATGTGTAAGTCATTACCGCTAAAATAGTGAATCAAAACTAAAATATTGTTTGATATCTATTTCCAAAATGCACATTTTCTATTAACAAATCATTTTTTATGAAAACAAATACTTTAATTGCTTTTGATATTTAAAGACGATAAACTTTGCTTTTTACACTATGTCATTTCGACAAATATTTAAAAAGTTACAACGATGACAAAGTGATAGGGCGGTGTACTATGTAAAAGAAAAAAAATGGGGTATTCCCAGTATCTGATCCTATACGAAGTACTAACAATAAAACTGTGATACAGTTCCTTCTTATTAAATGATGAAAAATATATTATCATAATAGGTATTTATGATTATTGAATTTTAATGAAAAACTCAGAATTTTACTGTATTTCATTTTTTTAACGATATTACCCAATGTTACAAAAAAGGTTTACATAATATAATGACAAATAACCCATTTTTCGCTAGTAAGTACATACTTATTGGAATCCCTGTATTTATTAATCAGCTCGCGATAATATTGGTTTTGTAATAATTCTGCAAAATTCAAAGTAAATAATGTAGATTTTTATAGGTAAATCGCCCCTTTCATCACCCTACGCCTATAAGTATTGCGATGTTGTAGCTAAGAACCAAGTTCCCATCTACTTCTATATGGGAATTCATTATATTCGGTTTAGCTATTAGGGCACGGAAGCGCAACAAACAAACTCACTTTCGTATCTATAATATTATATTAAACTTACTAGTGATCCACCCGGGCATTGTACGGGCGAAATTTATTTATCGGGATAAAATATAGCCTATGATACTCGAACAAAATGTATTTAAATAAAGAAAAATGTTATAATAAATAATGTAGCTACCTTATGTTGAATTAATATTTGAAACCGGTTTAGTAGTTTGACAGATTATTTGTTACAAACATACAAATCTTGCCTCTTTATAATAATCGTATAGATAGTTAGAATAAGATAAGTATTTAATTGATGAAAAAGATTTAAAAATAAAGTAAGTAATACGTTTATTTGATTATATTTGTAAAAGTTACTTAGCATTTGTGCTTAACAGTGAGTTATTCAATATTTCTTTAAACAAAAAAAAATTGGAAAATAATTGCCATGATTGCACTACTGGGAGTACTCTTCATTCGAGCTTTACACGACCAATAAAAAAGGGTCGAACACAAAGTCTTTGACCTGTTAAATGTGAACGCTTTAAAAGAAAACTACAAAGAGAACTATAAATTGATAATAAATGAGATTGCTATGGTGCTCTACCTAACGTTATGAAAATTTTATTATGCGCCTTTAGTTTAATAAAATATTATAAACTTTGCTTTGGTGATTGCATAATTATTTAATTTAGTGATCTAAGGCAGTTGCCACCATTGTCCAAAACAACAGACGGGAATTACTGCTTTCTTCAACCTGCGACGTAAACGTCATTGATTGGTATTGTATATAGGGTCATTAAAAACATTTGAAGTTAACTTCTGGCATCTACATATTGGGTTTCTGTGGATTATGTAGGTATATCAAATTATGAGACTAGGGACTAGGGGGGAATTTGTGTATATCACAATCTTAGATGTCCGCATTGACATGACAATGCAGCCACTGCCAATTTTAAATAGTCGACGAATAAAAGTAAATGAATTTTATATTTACTGCTAAACTATTAAAAAAAACATAAACAAAAGATGACTTTTTGAGTAAGTGCTAGTTTACTATAAAATTTACATACATTAGAGATATTTATGTAACGACTTGATTTAACTTCACACATTTTTGCGAAAATTGAGGCCCATCTGTAGCCTTGACCCCGCTGGTAAAGTCTGTATATGTCTTAATAAATCAATCTTTTAGACCGACGCAAGGTACTTAATAATTCCCGCGATATTAATTCCCTTACTGAAGTAACAAGACTACGGTATGTACCGTCCTAAAATACTAACTAACTAAAAAGTGTGAAATAAAAAAGGTAAATTTAAAAAATCAAAAAACCCGACTGCTTAATTATACTTTAAATAAAAACTGAAAAGAAAAAAACAAGTCCAGTAGTCTATAATTCTGTTAATAAGGAACAAAGCTACTTTAACAGTCGGGACCCACTGTTGAAAAATATTATGTATTCTTGAATATCTAATGGGTCCCAACTGTTAAAGTAGCTTTGTTCCTTATTAACAGAATTATAGACTACTGGACTTGTTTTTTTCTTTTCAGTTTTTATTTTATAATTTATTGTGACTATAATTTTTGTAATATACAAATCGGCATAAAAATCTGTGAGTGAACATTCACCCCTATTTTCCCACCCTTTTGTTTCTAAATTCATATGGGACCAACTTAGGGGTATACCTTTTCCAATACAAAGAGAATTATCAAAATCAGACTACTCTGTAAAAAGTTATATGTGGTCATACGTAAAAAAATATATACCTAGTCCAGTCAAAAGTTCTGTTACAAAAGAAAATCCATTTTTTTAATGAGTAATATATTGTTACTTAAACCTACATGTTTATTAGCCTTCGCAAAAAAAAACTATGCGAAATGGCCACCTTTGGCTTTTATACATGCCTTTAATCTGTTTGGCCACGAATCTATGAATTTACGCACCGTTTCCAAGGGTTTCGCCACTGCTCACTCAAAAGATTTTTTAAGAGACTCAATGTCGCCGTGTCCTTTAGACCATGACGTCTAAAACTGACCATAATTTGAAGTCTAAAGGGTTGAGGTCTGGGCTAGATGAGGGCCAGTATTCAGCTCTTATAAGGTCCGGAACGTTGGTTTCAAGCCAGGTTTGGGTAGTTCGTGCCTTGTGAACAGGTGCAGAATCCTGCTGAAAAGTCCACGGTATATTTTTTTAAAAGTGTATTACTGAGAGGATTCACAAGATGACCCAAAACTATATCTTGATACACTTTGGCTGAAATTTTCATTCCTTTTTCACAAAAATGTAGTTTTGTGACTCCTTGATAAGACACGCCCCACCAAACCATCACTGACGCAGGATGATGACGACGTTGTACCTTACCGACCACTTGAGCAGTTGCTTTAGAACTGTGAGTGTACACTTTGTCATTTAGCTTATTGTAGTGTTCCTCAATCTTGAAAATATTTTCAGCGGTAAAGAGGATATTTCTGTGCTTTTTACCTGCGTATCGCTTCAGAATTGATTGATTTGATCGATCCAATCTCTTTAATCGTAAAGATTGATTTAGGGCATGTCCTGTATATCAACGATAAGTACCGAGCTTCAGGTCTTGTTTTATAATGTGGCACAGATTCCTAGCGGGAATCTTGATTTCCCGCGATAATATTTTTTGCTACCCTACGAATTCTGGCTTTAACAGCATTAACAGCCTTTAAAGTTCTAACAGCACGTGGCCGCCCGGATCTTTTCTGGTCTTCGACAGACGGAAGTGTTGTTGTATCTGTTGATAGTACGATATAAGAACATATGGTTGATACCAAGCTTTTGAAGTGTCTGGAATATGACCGACGGCTCCATACCCACATTGTGCAAAGCGATTACTGCAACCCTAATTTCTTTAACACCCCATTCCATATTTTTTTCCATTTCCATATGTGAAATGGCGCAAAATCGAAAGATTTTTTTAAAATAATATACGTGTTCCAAATTCAAAATAATTTAAATGTTGAAAAAAGAAGTTTTTATTTACCAAGAAGAAGTTTTTAATATGTAGCAGTATTTATGGCCAGACTAGTTATAAACGTGTCGAATTGAGAACCTCCTTCGTTTTTTTCGTCGGTTAAAAATTCGTCAACGCCGTCAACTAGGAGAACTCGCAACACCCGATCAAAAGCGAACGCGGTTCCGACGCCCCGCGTCGTAAACGTTCCTAATGGTTCGTACAGACATGTAGGTAAATAACACACCTATACCGTATACGGAGCACTTGAGTACCTATTACACTCTCATGAGTTATGCAGGTGGCGTACCGGGAGCGCGTGAAAAACCCTGGTGAGCGGGCACCGGAGACTTTAATATTATATGAACGCAGTCTGGCAGGACCGACTGAGCCTTCGGGGAATCGGCTAGACTTCCGTGTGGGTCGTCCAAATCGCACCGTGCACTTTTGTATTCGAATCTTAAATATTTGCGGATTGACGCGCTGTATTTGTTGGAGGGATGGGGGAAGACGTCTGCGATTTTGATGTGTACATTCTTATTTCGAATTTAACGAGGCGAGCGTTTGGTTCCAGCTTCTCTACATCTTAAACAGGTTTTGTTAAGCAGCGGAAGAAAAAAATTGTCTTGAAAAATAAATGGACAATTTACACCAATTATTTAGTTCCAAACAAAGTAGAATTTGTAATATTATCAAGAACCACAACCAAATTATGGGACTTCCCATATAATTTAAAGTAGTTTCAAACATATTAGTGTCGTTCAATTATATCTAAATTGAATACCAAAAAAGTTGACTGGAATGAATAGTTTATTATTCCGAATACAAACTTTTAGGCTCAAGTTGTGAAATAGTGTTCAGACTTTCGATTTTGTTGAAGTGCCCTATAAGCTACGCTCCTGTGGATATGACTCACTTTAAGTAAATATTAATACTTCGATTTATGCCTGCGAAAAAGTTGAGATATATGTGATTTGGATTTCTTTGACCGTGATATGTCAGTATATTTTACGACTCAGGCTCTATTACACTTGGTCGTCAGCCCGTATTCGAGTGCACGAGAAATTACCCGAATCCGGGCATCCGAAACAATATTCACACTGGAATACGGGCTGGAATACTTACCCGACTCCGTTTATTTACACTTAGTCGTTTACCTGAATTGCACTCGTGTTAGGGCTAACGAACAAGTGTAGTCGCGTCATTACAAATGCAAGCGTTACAATCAATCATCTTTAGACATACAATTCATTAATTTTATGTTTAATTACAAAAATCGAGTAGTAGTACATAGGTATACAAGCTCGCAATTTTTCAGTTTAAAAGGAGAAACAGAAAATTCTCCATTCTTTTAAATAAAATAATCCAAAGACTCCCTTTTGTTTTTATTTAATCGTGTATGTTTGCTATAGTGGTGTTTGTTTGAAAATATATGGCGCATGTATTCATCGTGTATCATAGTAGGGAATAAATCTTTTTCACTCACGTATCTCGTTGAAGTAGAACGGGAACTCCCCGGGTATGCTGCAGTTGAGCCTGGCCTTTAGGTACGTGGCCCAGTTCTGGCTGAGGATGTTCTTTCCGCCGGTGTCCCGCTTGCAGACCCTCGCCACCCGCGAGTAGACCGCCTTGCCGCAGTTTATGTACTCCACCGCCGTCTCCCGGAAGAAGAAGAGGACGTACTCTCCGACATCGAAAGACCCGACGAAGTTTGGTTCTAGGAAGAGAAGATTAAAGTTTTACATAAAATTAACCTTTTATAAAATTGAAAAAAAAAGGTGTTTGTTATAAATATACGTACTATCGAACAAATTTAATCCTGACCCACTTGACCGCTAATTCGCTTAATAATGTTAAGACATACAAGTTTTTATCTAATGCTTCTATCTCACACCTGCGCGACGAGGCATTGGTACTAAATGCGCTAAAATTTGTTATATCATAAGTACGCTTCTTCAGCTGCACATGCTACTTTATCGTCTCCCACAACCTCTTTGATGTGTGTCAAAAACCGCCAGTCTAGCTTTTGTCTAGCGTCTTTCGTAACACAGTTCGATAGTTCGTTACGATATACTAATAACAATAAATAATAATATACTAATAATAATATATTCGTTGCGTATGTGTGGGAGAAGCATATGAGAATCAGTGATTGCACTTAGGACCTTCAAATAAAAAGAGGACTGTCATAATATGGATCAAAGATATTTGACCTTTGTTTTTAATGTAGTAAACAATCCTATAGATAAAATGGGAATAGAAGCGAGAATTTCGAAATCACTTTTAAAATTGTAAATGTAACAAAACAACTTTTGTTTTCTTGATATTAAGAATAACGTTGATAAACTAATAGGGGAATCATTAGTTTATGGTCAAAATATTACGTCGAAAATCAAGCCTAGTTCAGATGGCCGCGCGTCGACGTACTTTCTTATGCGCGTATAGACTTTCTAAAGTATTACATAGAACCGTTTAGAGGATCTCGCGTCCTCTTTGCGCGTTTTTTTTAATAATTCTACAATTTAATGTTGTAGGTATTTAGTTATAGAAATATAATTATGAAATCCTGTTCAATTTGTGGGATATAAAGCATTCAAGATTATTAATTATTATTCTTAATTGAAATACATTTTATACACCAACAAAACAAACTAAAACAGAGTCTTGAATTGCGTTATTTAGATATTAGAATTAAAATTTCCTAATATAATAAATGAAAGAGAAAATCATAATATTTTATAGTAAATGCGAATAAAGATGTAGGCTTATTTCGCTACTATAAAACCAATAAATACCATTTAAGCAGCCAATTACTTATTCAAAGTCACGAATAGATATTTAAAGGCCCCTTTGAACCATTTTACCAATAACCTGATAAAAGCGATCGCATAGAATTTTTGATTCGACAGAGGATAAAATCACAACAGGCACCTGTCAATCTTGTATAATTAGAATGTGGTGCTTGAATTATGTATGCTTGAAATGCTTCGGTGGCGCGTTCCCACTGCTAATGCCATAGTGTCAAATTACTACTATTCTGTAATACGCTATAAATATTAGATGGCGCAGAGCGTCAAATATGTCGTGTACGGGGCGTTCATAGCTCGCATTAATACGTACTTATTTGTTGGTTAGGAAATGAAAGAGGCACGTGTGTGGGATTACGTTATGCACGCGTGGCGCACGAGCGGCCTTCTTTCTTTGTTGAATAATATCATTCACATGCTCTAGGAGCATCTAATCTATGCAACGGGAGTATTAAACGCTAATAAAGTTATAGAACTTCGGAAATTATTGGTGCTATAAATTTTGGCTTCACTTTAATTAACAGTTGGTACACGGCCTATTCGTTCTTAATAGTGATTTAAAAACTTAATATCCGACATTGACTGTAATAAAAATACGTTTTTATCTGTATCTACATAAGAAATGGCTAATCAGGTTAGATATTTGCATGCTCCACTCACAATCAAATCCATGATGGATTCTATCTCTATAGGATCTAACTATCATAAACTTTACACGTGTTTCTCTCCCATAAGGAGAAATGAAGTCACTTTAATATATGTAAGAATTAAGAAATTAATATTTAAACAATAATAAATGAGTGTTTTCTTTTATTATTAAGTTCGTTTTTCGAACTTGATATTATTTTTAAATATTCTATAATCATCTTATTTATTTCTGTGATGGAAATAGGAGAGTAGGTCTTTTATAATTTTATGACTGTTAAAAGCAGTTTCATTCTACCTTTTATTTTCGGACTAAATAACTAAAGGGTCTTTGCCGTGGATTGATAAAATGACGGACATAGCTTTGCTACTTTGTTATTCACAAGGCACAGCCTAGGTTGTAAAAGGTTATTAAAGTTAAGTGAGTGACTAGTGTTTAAAGGATCGATTAAAATAGAGTGGTGACTATTATGTTGTCATGCAACGTAAGCCCTCTGTGGCTGTGCTTTATGGTTAATTGACATGAATATAATAGCGAAAACTTAGTCTGAGTTCGGTACATTGTTTTAAGAACTAATCATCAGAAAATTTGACTAGAAAAAAAATCTACGCGGACTAGGCAGCAGACGGGACTAGAACCCGCACCCTTTGCTATCCAGGCGATTGCACAGACCATTGTGCTATCGGGGCCCTGATGGCCGTGTCGAATTTTCTGTAGCCTTTGGGTGCGGCCAGAGTGCACTCAGATTCAGATTCAGATTCAGATTTCGAAAACAAGCGCGAGAAATAAACAGTGTAGTCGAAGGGTACGGCCAGATTGCACTCCTGATTCAGATTCAGATTCGGACTCAGAAAACAAAGCGCGAGAAAAAGCAGGCAACCTGCTTAGACTACACTGTTTATTTCTCGCGCTTGTTTTCAGAATCTGAATCTGACTCTGAATCTGAGTGCACTCTGGCCGCACCCTTTCTTAGGCAGCAAGGCAGCGCCATCTCTTCGCATTGTAGGTAACCAAATATATAAATAATCGTAATTTAGATTTTGAATTACGTTTATTTACTGGCTATTTCTTCAAATGTACTTTCATAGTACACTTATTATATCACTGTTCATAATCGTCGAACTCTTTAATGCCCCCACAGGCCTTGCCAATAGAAAGGATCGCGAGAACAGGTCATGCCACATTACATGAGCTAAATGAGGATTGGTGTGAGTTAACGACTGCAGATTTATCGCGGACCAACGGCTTAACGTGCCTTCCGTAATGCGGAGCCCTGGACATAATATTTATTAGGGCTCATGCCCACGAGACGGTTTTTCGTCGGAGCTTAGACCAGCGTCAAACCTACGTCCGGTCGTCGGTCTTGCATGGAACCAATCACGCAACACCGGCGCTAGCCACGGTACATCGTCGCGGTTTTGGGGGCCGTTGAACCGGTTTGACGCCGGGTTGAGCTCCGGCGAAAAACCATCTCGTAGCCATGAGCCGTTGAGCTGAAATTAGACGTTTCATTTTTGCTTTTATTTTCGATGCTTTATCAATGAAAAACCGAAAATGAAATGTGTAAAGGATATGGTAAAATTTTGTATTATCAACTACCCTAGCATTGTATATGTGTTGTACTTAGTAATATTTAATGCTGTATGGCTGAATATTTATAATTTCTATAAAAAGGCTCAGGAACTTTTGATAACAATATAAACCTGACAATTATGAAAACTCCTACGTCATTACCTTGCTACATTCTATAACATGTTATCAATTATCTATAGAGCCATTCTTTTCGTTTTTTCTTAGAACCTTTCTTCACATTGCTTTGATAAAAACTGCACAAAAAGTATTTTAGTATATATGTAGCTATGTACTGCCGAAGTAAGTACAAAAAAAGTATTTTTAAAACAAAAAAAAAATACAATTAATTTATACTCCTCCGCCTGACAGGAAATCTGTATATAAGTTATATTTAGTTAATTTGCAAAAATCCAAGGATTAATTATTATACAGCCTTGTCTAAAGTCTGGTCAGAGAAATAAAATCTATTAATTTAATCTTTCAGTGATTTGTTAAGAAAAATAGGACCAAATATTTCATAGTTTTTAGGAGTTTAGAATTAAAATTATTTATTTCGGTAAACTTACACAAATATTTATTGTGTTTATAAAATGGAACATTTTGCTTTTGATACAGACATGAAGTCAATTTTCATACTTTTAAAAATTTCATTATTTTACGAAAATTGTATGAGAATAATAAACCCGTTATAATTAATAAACAAGTATTATAACGTTACGGGCTTTAGCGAAATAATTATACACGTTAAGGGCAGTCTCTTAGCCATGTTCTTAACGTTCATCGGAATGTGCTTTCGCGATGAAAGCTCCGGCTTGTTTTCACTAGCAGAGATAATGCATCTGTCATCATTCATCGGCAATGAACGACAAGTGAAACGTCTAAACAGCGACCACACATCCACAGTTCATTTTCAACATTGTCTCAGTATAATATCTTTAATTAAATAACTCAATACACATGATTTTCACGCGGGAATTCCACAAGGAATATAAGATTGGCGTTCTATACAAACACCGCATTTCACTGTTCATCATTCATAAATCATTGCAAAAATTAATAATTAATAATTTTGATGAACCGTCTAATTCCGCCTTTATGCCCAACTTCTCCACGACCGGCCAAAGTAAAGTTACTTTAACATGAACTATCGCACACGGAACGCGCTAGTCATTGCAGCTTTTCTTTATTCTAGAATTCAGAAATAGTTCTAATAATTAAAATTTATTAAAAAAACTTCGAAGTGTATGTATGCATGCCATTCATCATCATTAATGTTGAATTATACTTGTAAACTGTGAAGTGAATAAACAATAGGTGAATTAACTATACCAGCTTTTACTTACCGCTTAATCGTCACCACTATTATAGCGAACTTTAATAAATACTAGCGAAGTAGCTAAAAGCCTATTAATGTCCCCATTGCTGGGGCACAGGCCTTCCCTATGCATGAAAATTGGAAAAATGGGCCATGACCAACCACGCAGGCCCAGTGCGGATGATAAATCCTTACGACGAAGCACGGAGGAGCTCGAGTTAAAAAATTTTTGGTCACCCATCCAATCATATAAGCTGTACTTAACTATCTACACTGTTCACATTAGTTTTTATTTCAAAATATTTATTTTACAAGTATTCATAACGCACCATAAAAATTTAATCTCGAAAAGCGATAAATATAGTGCTCCAACAAAAAACTAACTGACGACACGATAATTAAAACGCCGAACGACATAATAGGGTTAATAAATTGAAATCCAATAAAAATAATTAACTGTTAGTGTCGTTTGAAACGCAAGCTATAAAGGCCGCCGAGTAATGAACGAAACGATATTATTAACGAAAATTACGCAAATTTGTCGACTCGTAATTTCTATTCGCGTGTTATTTTAGCGCAATCACAGATTAACGGGTGAGCTGGCCCGTTCCCTTTGTTCCCGTTTTGGTTTTGTTTGTTGTTCTCGTGTTTTGGTAATGGCAATTATTTTAGGTTACTCAATTTTAACCTTTGTAGGTACAATAAGAGTTAGTTCGTTGTTATAACAGTAACAGGAATTTTATATCAAAAGAAATGTTTTACAAGATAAAATTTTTGTTCCATTTATCGTGCTTAGTTCAAACCAGCACCCTTAGCGATTCCCGGGAATTCATTCCCAATTATCCATATAAATTAAAGGACATGTCTGATATTTTCCAGTATTGCTTAGGTTACAAGACAGCTCCATACATATGTTCTCTATATATTATGCGACTGGTACCCTGCCCGCGACTACGTCTGTGTGGAAATATTAGCTTCTCATACAAACTTTGACCCCCGTTTTACCCCTTTAGGGGATGAGTTTTGGAAAATCCTTTCCTAGGGGACGCCTATATCACAATAGGTATATGTGTGCCAAAGCGCCGTGGCGCGTGCGATGTCACCTTTGGTTAGATCATTGCGTAACCTCAATGCACTCCGGGACGCCAACACTGAATTTGACTTTTCTTTTGACAGTTGGTCTACCATCAAGTCAGCATTATTATGTTATTGTGAAAGTCTGACGGATCAATGGAGCAATACTGTTTGCGCTGACAATGAGGATAGTGCTTGACATTAATTTTTGTTAAAACATATAATATTTATTTGAAATGCTTACCCTATTTATAGTATATTATATTAATATTGACGTTTTATGACATATTATGACATCCATTTAAAATGTGTGAAACTAAAAAATGTAAATGTGTGATAAATGTAATTGCTCTTTGTCGTTTTTATCACAATAAATAAATAAATAAATAAAAATAAAGGACAATGCCCACTTTAAATGTGAATTTGGCTTAACATGGACAGACATTTCAACAAGTAAAACTACCCAGCAACTTTGAAAATCATTATAATTTTGTATCAGTATACTTCAAAACAAATTTTTAGCACCGCGAATTGACCGCGAAGAAAAAAGGTAATGTAGGCACGCTTGAGCCACTTTCCCAACGATCTATATGATAATTGAAGTCATATTATCTTACCAACACGATATCTAGATACTGCGTACATACATTTTGTGTTCCATAATTCAATAAAATCGATAAAAACATCTATTCCTTAAATAAGCTGCGAAAAAATAGTTTTGCGCAATAATGCGTTCGACGTCACATGCATATTACCAAATTTATTAACAAAAAATATTGTGTTTTTTGACAGCTTAGGTATGTTCCAAGCTTACTTACTTAAAGTCCGCCTATCACCGCCGTTTTCGATCACATGACATTAGATATTTAAAAGAAGGAAGTGATCGTATTATTTTCATTTAATTTATTGTGTTATTAATGAAGCTCTCTACTATAGGTATATTAATGTTATAGAAATTCGTTAAAAATTAATAAAATAATATTTTTACAATTGTTGTTTCCCAAGCACCTTGTCCACGCCGAGCCTATGTTGTGCATTGTCCATTCAGCGCAATCCGTTCAGTGGCTTGAGCTATGTGTTGCAGATCAGTCAGTCAGAAAAGGTTACTTTTTATATATACAGATGTAGAACTGAACACTACCCCGAAATTGTACATTACATTGCCGTTGAGATCCCGAATTTCAATACTGCGCGACTTTAAAATATTGTAGGGTTAATTAATCTCGCATTTTAGAATTGATGCTCTATCGACCCTACAATAATTGTTTAGGTTATTTTTAGTTTTATGGAATACTTTTAAGAGCCAGCTAGCTGATGGGAGTTAACAATGTTGCCTATCGGCTAAAAGTAATATAATGTCGAATTTTCAATTTATATATAATATTTAAATTGATATTATTTATATGAGAGAGTGTGTGTGAGAGAGAGAACTATACCCAAAACATCATACACAAATAAATAATATTCGTTAATAGTTATTTACGATATTAGTGCGGTAAGTTGGTTATTATAAACGAGTAGATGAATGCTTACCATAGTCACGCGTTTGTAATACCAATCCACACGAATGTCATACAACGTTTTTCAAAACATTTGCGAGGAAACATTATACATAATTTAAGTAATGAAGCAAATTTTTCTAAATTCTTTCAAAATGGCGCGTATTTCTAAATAGCGCCTAACCTAGCGCGGGTACGTGGTGAAAATTATGGCACTAGGTATTTACCAAACAGCATTTTTATAACTATTAAACAGTAGCATTGTCATTAAATTCCTAAAATATGATTTTTTTTTCTGTTATGCAATTTTTTGAGTATTTACCTCCCGTGCTAGTTAAAAACTGTGTTACGGAAAAGTAATTATTCTGAATTAATTCGGCCAAAAACGTATTTATACAATCTTTAATATAATTTAAGCACTTTAAATACTAGAATTTTGTGTTTATGTACACTTAATTCTTACTTTTTTTTTGTTACGGGTAGACAAATTAGAACTATATCTTTTACTCTTTTTTTCTTTTTAGTATTAAAGTGAGACATATGGTATAGACTAAAAGCACTGCCGAGGAGGTTCGATCGAAATAAAAAAAAATCCGTAAAGAGTACTCACGGTGCCATGTCTAGGAGCGTGCGTAATAAATTTTACCGCAAGCACTGCTGTATGGCCCGTAATTTTGAATTTTGAACAATGTATACAACCTTCGTAAATGCATTTTTGAGCAAATGTGTTGAAATAGTTATTTATTATACAAGAGTGGAAAGTTCCTTTTTAACCGCGTGCTCGATTTGGATGACCGAGCAAGCGAAGGATTCTAAAGTTGAATCACGAGCGCAGCGAGTGATTCTAAATTAGAATCCTGAGCGTCAGCGAGGGACACAAACGAGCACAAGGTGAAAAATCTTTCCACTCGAGTGCAATACGTAACTTTTCATCCCACCTCAGCGAGGAAATGACAAAATGAAAAAGAAAACAATTTATAATGACAAAATATTTAAGCAATAAAACGTGAAAAACTAGAATGGCGCGAAGCACGCAAATAAAACAAAGAAACCAAGAAGGTTCCAAATTTAAATTTTTTCACAATTTAAAAAGTTCTAATCATAAATTTGGCACCATAGAGGTTACATTAAATAGGTTTAATGACGTTTTGAATTTACAATTATATTGAGTACTCATTATATGTGATGTTCTAAATTCAAATCTACTTTGCCGCTCAAGCGAATAAAATAGAATTTTCCAGCCAGATTTCGAAGCGCAAAATTACACTTTCCGAGGTGGTGGGATGAAAAATATATTTCTTATGTTATTATTTCCAGAAGATAAAAGTATTATGTGTACTCTTGTAGGTTATGTGTACTGTTGTTCAAGGCAGGCAGCCTTGCTACGAGCTACGAATCTACGAAGCTACGACCAACTACGATCTCTTAGCTAATTGAGAGTACAAAAGAAGCAATAATGATTTATTGACATTAATTCCTTATTATTTATTGCTCTTGTCTAAAGCCCATGGTCCGTTCTAGCCCTACAAGCCATTCATTCATGCGGATGAGAAATATTGAGAATCTTTGTAGTTTTCATAAATAAATTGTCTTCATAAATAAATACAACACTTTCATCCAAATCTATTTAGCAAAAAACATAATCAGAAAAATTGGTTGAGTCGTTTTCATCAAATTTTCCGATTAGGATATGGCATTTTATTTTTATGTAAAAAAGTGTAGATCAGAAATTTTTTTGCATCTTCTTTCATACTTACAAAAATCATCGTATTAACTACTTTCGTTTTTATATTTAAAGGATCACTAAATATCACTTTTGATGCATGACATTACATTAGATACATAAATAAAAATATAAGCTGAATTATAATTGGTTTCAATTTACTCCTACACAAAGGGTTGTCAATTTAACGATGAACATCAGATTTCACACCAAAAATAACACAACTTGTCTTCTATTAATCAAATAAAAATTTACTAGAAAAAAATCTACTCTGTCTAGGTATCAGACAGGATCCCGGATAGAAGTAGATGCAGGTTGTAATCCTGTCTGGTAGGTACCTGTACCTAGTAGATATTTACTAATAAAATTTCTTTCAATTTGGTAAGCTATCTTATGTTAAAATAACAATAAAACTAGTTAAATGGGTAGGAGAGCAAATCAAAAACGGTACTCATTGTCGAGTCGTATTTGAGAGAGACTTCCTTCCATAAGCACCTTTACTACTACTGCTGGTCAGGTTAGGCCTGTCCGTTTTGAAGATAACAGTCTCGGCCTTTGTTAACTACAAATATTTCAAACAAAAATTAAATTACCAAAACAACTAGTCATCTTGTTGGAGAGCAAACGAAATGGCACTGTCGAGCCACTTGGAGTCGTATTTCAAAGTTCGCTAGAACGAGAACTCCCATCTTCCCGTTCCAGGTTATGCTAGTCCGTTTTGAAGATAACAGTCTCGACCTTCGTGAACTCCACGTTGGTGTAGAAGAACAAGGATTTCAAACAAAAATAAATTACGTAAACAGCTAGTTATTTAGTTAGGAGAGCAAACAAAAACGGTACTCACTGTCAAGCCACTTGGAGTCGTATTTCAAAGTTCGCTTGAACGAGAACTCTCTTCTTCCCGTGGTCAGGTTATGCAAGTCCGTTCTGAAGATAACTGTATCTGCCTTCGTAAACTCTGCGTTGGTGCCGGAGTATAAAGCGGGCAGTGAGCCAGGGTTGCCTCTCTCGACCCACAGGGCTGTAGAATTATCCGCCGGATCGTACGGGCACTTCGCGACGCCCATCCCTATGCCGGGCACGTACTCGTGGCGTGGCAGGTGGGTGAGATTCGACTGGAACAAAAGAATAACGCTTATTTTTATTGCTTTCGCTGGCTTATCGTGTCGCACAGGTGGGGTATCGTATCGCCTATATTGTTTGTTGTATTGACAGTTTAATATTAGAACTACAATAACAATGATAATGGAATTATAGAACATAATTTTCTTGAAGTTTTTTATTTATAATTAAAATATACTGTAAAAAACACGTTTGTCGAAATCCAAAACATTATATAAAACGCATTAAACTATGCTATTCACTTGGATTTAGTCGATTTCAGCTCAGATTCTTAACACGTGTTGTGTTGTATTTATTATTCTACTAGCTGACTCGGCGAACTTCGTACCGCCCAAAAGTAATAATTTGCAATAAATTAAAATTGCGACTATAATTTGAGATTTAAACTATCCTATCTCTCAAGTTGGATCGAACTGCACATGGTGTGCGAATTTTATTATAAGTTCGGTCGGTTCAGTGGTTTAGGAGTCCATTGAGGACAAACATTGTGACACGAGATTTATATGTATTAAGATTGCTATCGCAACGAAAATGATGGTGTTACCTTTGATCAAACTTAAACAATAGTAGAAGACTTTAAATGCGGCTGTTATTTTATCCAATAATGAAATCAATCAATTAGTTCCCACACGATTTGTCGTGACGATTCAGATACGATTCGTAGCATGGCCACGACGACTATCAAACGCTTCCCCAAAGTCCAACAAAACATTTCGTTGCCCGATCGCTTCCATTTCACGCGCCATTAATCTAAAACTTTCAAAAAAAAACAACGAAACAAAAACCAAAGTGAATTTATGCGTTTCAAAGTCACTCCCAGCGTTACAAGCGCCCCTCTCTCAACAACACATCTGCTATTAATTTCTAAAAATTTATGTCCGTTTCACGTGGTACGCGATTTATAAACCGAAACTTATTATTTTCGAGGCGTATTTTTTTTCTCTACTGCCCCCGCACAAAATTCCTCTATTAGTATAATGCGATGGGTGGCGGTACGGTTTTTGGAATTATCATAAAATTACTAAATGTAGCATAAACGTGGGGTGGGCAGCGCGTCGTGGATTGAGACTTTATGTAAATTTTAACGACGCTGCGACCATCGACGGCACCTGTGACTGGGGCCCCCTCACCTCACCTGTCGAAAACCTATGTCGTTTTTATTTCAATAAGGCGAAGATTAAATTAGGCATGCAAGGATAAGCGGCGGCTGACTGCAGAACAATTTTTTAAGTCCTAACTTGAGAAAACATTGTTCAATAAATAAAATTCGTTAATTCAATCGAATTGTATAGAATCTACTTATAAAGGAAGGCCGATCAAGGTACAACATATTCTATGCGAACAACGAATTATAAGCACCCAACCACAGCTTTGTTAAAAGGAAAACGTGCTGCAACAATAACGTTTAAGTTTACTACATTAAAGCGAGCATTTACTTTGTCTAGACCGAAAAGAAATAAAATGCGAAAGTTGGGTAAAATATCAATACGAAATGCTTTCTTATTACTCAGGTAATGAGAAAGGTACTTAGTTTTATTTGGGCATGTATAAAGGAATATTTATGAGAGGTAAGTTCTCTTCGCTAGTTTACGAAACATATGAAATGAAATTTAGTATATCCCAACTGTAGAGTTGGTGCTTTTCAGTCTATACTGAAGGCTAACATGTTCTATATTGTAAATTATGTAGCTCTGGAATCAAATATTTGCAATACCAACTTTTGTATTGAAGATTGTTAATTCTTGTTACGCCCGTTGCGGTACTGTTCAAATTTCCATAGAAAACTTTTTGACATTTGACGCGTATCGAGATCGAATTCAGTTATCGAATTCGATATTGGATCGTTCTAAGGATACTGATCCTCGTCTTGAATTTAAAATGGAATCAACCATAGACCACTGAGAGGAATATCTTTCATGATATCTATTACTGTACTAAATTTATTAATCTCGTAAACTATTCAAAATTTCTCTGCCATACGAAAACCGAAATTTCGATCGAAACTTCGCACGTTCTTACTGTGTTTCTTATCTGTTTCTAATTATCATAATATTCTTTCGTCAGAAAATAGATTGAGGTTTAGCAACTCTTACTAAGTCTACTTAAAGAAAATTTTAAATGAATAGCTTATCATTTAATTTAAGTATAACCTCAAAATGACACAATTAAATTTTGTTTGTAAATTGGTTACCGAAAGTGAGTTCGTTTGGGAGAAAGAAAAAAGGCCCTCTGGATCATAAGAGATATTTATGACATAGTACATTGTCATCATAATCAACCTACTAATAATTCTACTTCTGGGGCGCAGGCCTCCTATGGTTAATAAAGGGAAAATGGACTGGATGGATGGCTTACATCACGCGTGCCCAGTTGGTGGTTCTTAACAACTGCAGATGCAGTGCGCTGTCGCAACGTATCGTAGGGGACCCTCCGAAGAACGAATGAGCTCAAAATAATAAATTTTTAGTCAAATAAGAGTATGTCCCGCCAGATGGTAAGCGGCCACCATAGCCTACAAACGCTCGTGATACCCAAAATAACACTCGAATCCTTGCCTACCCTAACTCAATCCTCTATCTCGTGGAGCCCTGAAACTTTACTAACCGACAAGCCACTTGGAGTCGTATTTCAAAGTTCGCTTGAACGAGAACTCCCTTCTGCCCGTGGTCAGGTTATGCTAGTCCGGTTTGAAGATAACAGTCTCGGCCTTCGTGAACTCCACATTGGCGACGGAGTACAAGGATTTCAAACAAGGGAGTGTGGTTTTACTGTGATCCTATGTATGGTGAAGGTTACTTCCCAAGACGGGCGCTTCAATTCCTTCTCATCTTATGCAAAAGTTCTTTAACTTTCACGATCTCAGATCGAATGCACCAAACACTGGAGCTGCATGCCTTATTAACATACATTTCTTACTACCGAGTTACGATTGAAAACTTGATGTAATCACACGTAATCTGACAAAAGCGCCCGAACTTTATCATAACTCTACCAACTCGGAACAAGAGAACAAAACAGTAAAGAAAACATGGACTTACAACTCCATTACGGCTCGAGTACCCCGCGAAAATACTTTAAAATCACGCCGAAACAACAAAAGCACTTTCAATGGAAGTATTATTTCCAGGGACAGTTTTGTAGGGGCCTAAGTCCGGGGATAAATAACCAAATGGATGGTCCGGAAGAGCCCCGGGGCTCGAAGAAAGTTTACGAACGGACCAATGGGCTCTCATTACGGTTCGCTTTGTTTGTTTATGAAATTAGCAGCCTTCAATACTGTGCGACTGGTGATGGATGCTTTTTCGCGAAGGGACTCTCTAGATTATCTTATTATTCTTACTGTCCATTTGATTATTCATAATAACAATATAAAAGTTAGTTCTATTTGTTAAGCTTTCATGACTAAGTCTTAAGAGACCTTAAAGCAAATCAAAACCAATTTTTATGTTTTACACAACAAAACTCAATACAACTTTAATATTGCCATGGAAATTATTTGAAGATGGTTAAATAGGGAATTAAAACTTTTTGAGGGCTTAATTGCTGGCATACGCTAGTTATTTCTATTAACGAAAATACCTCATCTAAGTATAACGGATGGACAGACAGATAACAGAGGCTTAGTAATAGGGTACATTTGTCACGCTTAAGGTACAAGACCTTTAAAATAATACAAATTCATCGCATACAAAACATGTCGTATATATTTTTTCTCTCTTTCTCTCTCTTTTAAACGATACCAGATTGTAGGAAGTAACCATAGAATTCCACTTGCGAATAGTACGACAAAAAAATGAGTCACCAAATTTCTTTTTTCGTGTAGGAATACAAAAATACATGAAACCTTTTTATAAATACGTTAACTTAAGTTCTATAAAACGCAACATGAGTAATTGAATGCTAAATAGGGCTCGGTCAATAATTGTTTGTGAGGTTAACCTTTACATATCTTATCTGAAAGCCAACAGTATCTTATCTAGCCTAAAAATAACAACGTATCTAGTAAAACCAAAATAGGATAAAGCGTAGGTAGCTTTTGACTTTGACAAGAGCTTATTAAATGATCCAACAGACTAACGAAACGTCAGGCATTGAAATATGAAACAGAATATAATTCTAAAGAAAAGTTTTACTAGAAAAAAATCCACGCGGACCAGGCAGCGGACGGGACTTGAACCTGCATAACCCGTCCGCTGCCTGGTCCGCGTGGATTTTTTTTCTAGTAAAACTTTTCTTTAGATTTAAACATCGGCAGTTACACAGAATATAATTGTTTTATTATTTCATGGTCACAAACATCATAGTTATTAGCGGGATTGCTAACATGTACCTACATGGTTGAAACAGAATGATTTTTAACCATATTCAAAAAGGAGGAGTATCTCAATTCGCATGTATTTTTAAAAAAGTAGTTAACGAAAAGTTCAGACATGAGGTGAGCATACGAATACAAGCAAATGTATTATGTAATAAATACATGTCTGGCATCAGAGAGACTCCTTGGGGGATGCAAAAGTCTGCATAATCAGACCACTACGAAGTTCTGGTGCAGTAAGTTTTGGACTCCCGTATCACTTGCACACAAAGCTCATTTATATTCGTGAAATAGAAATAACCGGCAAGTTTAGTTAAGATATGACGAGAACTTTTAGGCTATGTGGAAGACAGAGGGAAATGTTAATTACTTTGCATAATGTTCTCCCAGTAAGTAATTATATTTTTTTATTGTAGGTTAGTTATTTGTAATATAATTTAATTTCAAAATTGTCCTTCTAAATGTGATTTAGGTTTAACAAGGACGTCTCTTGTAGATTAAATTCTTAGATAAGTTTTTGGTTATTGTAAATTTCTGTTGCGCCCAATGCATTAACAACTCTTGAAAAATACACAAATAATTTTCTTAAAAATGGATACTAGTCATTTTAAGAGCTTATGTAAATGCAAAATGGATGACTTATCACTCTAAAGAACGAACACAATATTTAAATAATTA